TCTTGGCTCCTTTTTTTAATTCTTCCCTTGTAGGATGACTAGGCTTGCTCAGTGCAGCCAGTATAACGCCACTTCACTCTGTCCACCTCTTCCCGCAGGAGCACTGGGTCAGGCATCCTGCTCTTCTTCTCGCACCCAGCCCAGCATGTGGGTTGCGTCCCCATGGACAAGAGGCATTTGGGGAAGGGGAAGAAGTTGCACTCCCTCTTCTGTTTTCCTCAGCTGTATCAAAATTCAACACAAATGAAACTATGAATATGTGTCTATAATAGAGACTATAGAGCAAAAAAAGTAGTAGTGATTTATGTGCACACCTTTGTTGAATATAAAGCCTGAATTGACACTGAATCAGACACATGGAAATTAAAGCATTCAGATAGGAAAGCAAAGGGGACAGAAAAAAAATTTGCACATATTATACTATAGTACCAGAAGCAAGAAAGTTAAGAACAATTACTATTTAAAAAAAAAAGGGGGACAAAAAAACCAACCAACCAACCAAACTGCTCTCAGTTAGTTCAGTAAGTGCAAAAGCATATATAAGTAAGGTGCTGGTATGCCACCTAATAAACATTTCCTGTTACCGCACGGAGAAGTCTCATTTTCCAGTCTCACAAATCTATTCCAATCCTGAGTAGCTGGAGGCTTGCAGGGTAGGGATGGGGGGGGGAAGTTGGGAATTGTTTGTTTCATTGGGATTTTTGAAACAAAACACTAACCTTAACGCACACATGCACAGTTAATCGAATGCCATGTGGGCTGACAGAAAAAAAAGCTACCAGTAAATAAAAATGTAGCATTTTAGTAATAGGTTACTAAGCGTGCATAGGTTGCAAAGTATCAGTTATTTGTTACAGGCTACTTGCTTAGTGCTAGAAAGCCTTATTCCTTTTGCCATTCATTTTGGAGAAACGAATAAATTTAGGCAAATCAGGAGTAGGGTAAATCTGGAGAAATCACAAAGGGGAGGAGTTCACCTTCCTGGCTATGGCTTTCAGGTCTGTCCAGGACTATTTAGTCCAGTATAAAACTGAGAGCAGAAATATGATCACATACTAAGAAGTCTAATCAATTCTGGTTTCAACACTGAGCCTATTTAAAATAGATAATGGAATTGCTGTTCCTTGTTCTGTTCTCTCTGCACATTCTCAAGACAGAGGCAGTAGGTAAGTCCTTGCCTGCTCTTTCTAACCCCATGTACCAAGGTTACTTTTATTTCTGATTTGATTCTGAGTATCAGTACATACAGTACAGACTCTCTAATTCTTCTACATGAGAATGTTGAATGTTTTATTTATTTCTCTGCCTTTTATTACTTGTGGTAAAACATCAAGTATAGACTTTTCTCATGAATGAATGAGTGGTTTGTTGTTTGGGGTTTTTTTTTTCATCTTTAGAGATTCTAGTTCCCTTCCTCCTCCAAGAAAAATCAATGAGGTTTGAAAAATCAAAACATAATTTCTTTATCTGTAAACTTCTTAATACTTCAAATAGCTTGTTTTAGCTTTCTACTCATATTGCTTTGCTGTTTATGACATAAGATGAAATTCTTATGGTTGCCTACTGAGAAAGAAAGAACAATATGTCTTTGCTGCATTAGCCCAGCAGATCCATCTATTTTTGCACTCTGTGCACTAGGTACGTAAGTACACTATGCACTTACGATGACTAGATTAAATAGCAATCTATAATTAGTATTGAAAAATGCAGAGGGCATTTTTATGTTTCTATTAGATCAGCAATGCTACAACGTCGAATAAATCACCTTTCCTATGTAAATATCACCACACAGCCTCAAAATTAGAGAGAAACACTGCAATTCTTGATAGTAATGAAGGATCTTCTGTTTTCACTAAAATAGACCAGACTGCATTAAGGAAAAAAAGAGATACAATATTATCAGAGATATCAGAGGGAAGCATTGCACCAAGAGCCTATTAAAGGGACACAGTTTTAAAGTAGATCCAGATGCAGCTGCCAGATTTAAAGTAACAGAGGTCTGAGGTGCTCAGAAGGTGCCTTAAGGAGCACAGCCTGACCACTAGGGAAATGAGGGTGTTTCGCACATTTTATTTCTCTGTTCTTAATTAATTCTCCAGATCTGTGATTCAGTAGTTTGCCTTTTCCAGATTCTTACCTGACAGTTCAAATACCTTCCCTTTTCTTTAGTTTGTATTTTGCAGGTATTCCATCTCTGGAGGCTTCCCACATGTGGTACATGTAATCAGAAATACAAAGAACCTTTGCTCTTCCAAAGTCTACAGCTAGTGTTTGCTTGAAATTGATTACTGACTGATTAACACTTTGCTAAATTTACTCCTCTACGAAGGGATTTATTACAGGATCATAGAATCATAGAATGGTTTGGGTTGGAAGGGACCTTAAAGATCACCTAGTTCCACCCCTCTGCCATGGGCAGGGACACCTTCCACTAGACCAGGTTGCTCAAAGCCCCATCCAACCCGGCCTTGAACACTGCCAGGGATGGGGCACCCACAACTTCTCTGGGCAACCTGTGCCAGTGCCTCATCACCCTCACAGTGAGGAATTTATTTCTTATATCTAATCTCAATCTACCCTCTTTCAGTTTAAAGCCATTACCCCATGTCCTGTCACTACAGGCCCTTGTAAAAGATCCCTCTCCAGCTTTCCTGTAGGCTCCTTCAGGTACTGGCAGGCTGCAATAAGGTCTCCCCGGGGCCTTCTCTTCTCCAGGCTGAACAACCCCAGATCTCAGCCTTTCTTCATAGCAGAGGCGCTCCAGCCCTCTGACCATCTTCGTGGCCTCCTCTGGACTCACTCCAACAGGTCCATGTCCTTCTTATGCTGTGGACCCCAGCACTGAAAGCAGTACTCCAGACTATTAAGAAAACCCTTATGGGCTTTATTAGATTAGCGTAAATAATTAGTGCTTTAGCAGAGAGAAGTAAGGTAGGAAATGCATATAATATTTTTTGTTGCTTCTTTTCCCAACCATGATTATTTCCACTTTCTTCCCTGAGTATAGAGGCAAACTACACAGTCATTAATGCACAAGTAACCTGCTCTCCCCCCTACCTTCTTTTCCAAACCTCTTCCTGAGGTAGAAGCTTCACAAGATACATTATGCTAAATTAGAGGCTAAACATTTCAAGAAACCCAAATGTTTGAGAATCAGCCTAAATTATTTTTTGTTATATTTGGAAGGTTATTTTTTTTTAAAATAAAGATTTAATTTCTATCATCTGACCACTTTTCAGAACTAACTTGAGTGATATTCACTTATCAACTCATTTAACATACCTCCACCAGGGCTGCTTTTCTAATCTGGGCAGCCTCATAATTCACCACACTTAAATAGTCAATATGACTGATGGCTAATCTTTCAAATTGCTTTCAGCCTTGACCTGTCTTAATATCATAGCACCTATGTTTTGAAATGATTACTAGTAGTCCTTACAGGGCTTTATAAAGAAGCAAGATTCATTATCCCCATTCTACAAAAGGGAAACTGAGGCACATTGGTGCAGCCACCTGCAGATCAACCAGCACCAGGAAGAGAAACCAGCTACCTTGAATCTCTGTCCAGCCTTGCACCTACTGACTTATATGGATCTCAGTTAGCATATTCCATTAATAGTTGCACTAATGCACCTCAAATGGCTGCTTGATTCCTTTGAGAGATCAGTGACCCTCTGGTACTGCTATTAGACAGGCAGAACAGAGTCAAAATGTCTGCAATGTTCCAACAGGAAAATTCCAAGCCCTTTGAGAGAGAGGTTTTATTAACAGTAATTTCAGTCTGGTGCCATCCGGAGAACAACAGCGGTAAAGAACCAGAATGTATGTCTATCTGGAAGCTTTGTACTGGGGTAACAGCAAGATCCATGTGTTACTGAAAAATAATTTAAAGAGGAATGAAATGAACCCCAGCATGTTTTAACCTTTTTCTTTGTCACAGACCAGGACTCAGCCACAAGAAGACATTCTCCCACAGTCCATGCTCTAGTGCTCCAAAAGATTGATGCATGATTCCTCTAATTTTCTATATTTCTACTTACATACTTTTAACTTTCAAAAACATAAAATTTACATAACCATGCTGGCACTATCATTGTGAGCATTAATTCTCAGTCTAATGTTTCCTCAGGGCCGTTCAAATACAAGAATACTTGATAGCCTTATAAGCAGCATAAAAAAAGATGCTGTAACTTCTTCCATTTCCCTATGGCACAGACTGCACACATACTTACAGCTGTATTTCAAATCCATTTTAGGATTGGCAAAATTGGGATGCTGCTGCACTTAGATACACTCTGGGATGAAAAGTTACATTTTCAGTTGTTTAAGAAGAAAGAATAATAACTGCAATATAAGACCTAAAACACATGGAAAAGGCAGTAAACCATAGCCGCTTTAGGCAATAATCCATAGGTGCTTTAGGAGATATGGATTGCCTGAATTTCCCTCTCTCCATCCACCTCATCCAACATGTAATTAAATATAACTGACAAGCTATCACTGCCATTATCTCAAAGTAGTCACCTCGACTCTGTCAGTGCAGACACTTTTGATCTCCAGTTATGATCTTTATGCAGGATATATTGCTTAGGGCTTCCTTCTTTCTTCCTTGCAATCATTCAGGCTGCCAGGATAGATTTAAAAACTTAATCTGGGTCTGCCTACCATCATCCATACATACCAGTGTATACCATCATTGTCGGATCCACTGTATGCAAGAAAAAACAATAGCTCACATTTGTCAGGTTGCTGAGTGTGCACTGAGAGCAAGAGATTCCCACTGATCCTGCTCTGCTCCCCCCTCTCTATGTAGCTACAAAAACTGCACAAGCAGGCTTCAGGCAGCAGATAATCTTCTGGCTCTATCATCTGCTAGACCAGTAACAGTGCTCAGTACTTAATATCTTTGAAACTCAGAAAAAATTTTACTAATGAACTTTCCCATTAAACATACATCCTGCAATTAAATTTTAGCAAATGAATTCGTAAGAGAGGCCGTTATGGTGAACAGAGGTGTAGGTTTAGGTAAGTTCAGCCACTGTTGTATTCACTGTCATATTTGGCTTACAGTTGGAGGGGTTTTATGGCTGAGAGAAGAATGGACACAGACTGCTTGAGCAGGAATCTAAGGATGCAAATTCTGTAATCTCAGAGTACACTTATTTCCTTCCACAGTTTCTGATAGAGGCACAAAGTTGTAAGGCATTGTAACAATTTCATTCTCACTCTCTCTTTGACACTAAAATTCAGCAAAAGACAGAAAAGCACTTGTGGAAGAGCAGCAGACGAAACAGTGGAGCCAGAGAGCAGCTCTTCAGTTAGCTCTAACAACCTGTTTCATTTTGGGCGGCAGACAACCAAGCCCCACAGGCAAAGAAACAACATTGTGTATTACTGGAAGACTTCCAAAAGGCAGCTGCAAGACAGTATTAGTCATATATGGAATAAACTTTGAAATGGTTTTACTTTATTACATTGTTGTAGCCTGCCAGGTGTGCCATTCAGATATATCTGCATTGCACAAATGGATAAATTTGTGTCAGACCAGGAATGCCTTGATTCTCTTCACATTAGTCTATGTGTGAGGTTATTCCACAATATGTACTGTTCAGACAAATCTTGCTGTAATCTGCACTCATCTGCAGATCCTGACTTCCTCTTAAAGAATTACACATGTAAGCGTTATAAGATCACCTCTGCTGTCTCCATCACATATGAATCCAGCAACTGCCCCTCATCCCCATGCATGACTTGCGAACCGCTGAAGAGTGACTGCATGTAGTATGTAGTGATGAATGACTGATATCACAGATGAGATGAATCCTGCTTTGTTTTATCGACGCTGCACCTAAGGCAGCATACATCTATTCAATGCCTCGATGGGCATCCAGGTTCTTGAACAGACAGATTTTTTACTAGGCTGATGCATCCAAGGGCATCACAGTTCCAAGTTCAAAAATCACTGTTCACTAGTTTGCAGCCTATTTCTGGTGACATGCAATGAGTGGGCAATTTTCCATGTACACAGTGGACCCAATCACATTATTAATGCTCCATTTAAGGATCAGCCTGACCAGTGTGAGTACACTGCATTGTCATCAATTTGTATTAACTCACTGTTTAGCTGACCTCAAGCAGAACTGCAACATGCTGCATCACCTCGTCCTTCTCCAGCGTCCAAGCCAGGGTGCTTTCCTGCTGCTCTTCACTTCAGCTCTGGGGGAAGGAAAGGAGCATGGTAGAATCCATACATAGGAGCAACATGCAGGTGACAAGTGACATTACTTCAGCTTGAGAATTACTCTCTTTTCTCCTATAGCAAAAGATATCAGCATAAGAATTGGAATATTCCTTACATGCTGCAAGTTGTGCGCTGTGATACTTAAGAAAACTGGAGTAACAGTTTCTCCTACCTCTTACATTTAGATTTTGAAGACTGGAAGCAGAAAAGCATTTTCAGAGGCAGGTGCTGCTGAGAAAGACCTTTCTCTTAACTGTCCAAATAACCAGCACAAACCTCTCTTGAAGACCCACTGCAAGGTCCTGTTCTTCAGCTAGGTGTCTGACTCCATGCAAGTAGGCTTTTTTCCCCTGTTTGTGGCATTGCAGCAGATGCTTTGTTATGTTGCAGAATCTATCTAATGGCCTGCTATTAGATTTTTAGTCACATTTCTAATCACAAGATCAGTTGTCATAAACCCAGTGCAAAAGACTACAAAAGGACAGTAAAGCCACAAATTAATTTGTTGGAATTAAATTTTTAAAATACTAAATAAGGTATTTCTGAATTTTATTTGATGCTGCCTCTGTTGTAAACAAAGCAAAACAAAGTACCCACAGAAGCAAATCACCTTAGCCCTGGATACTCATTTTTTGTTAAAGGCCAGCTTCCTTCTTTGATATGGCAAATTTATGGGGACACGTGTATATGACAGAAGCTACAACAGTATCACAGGTCACAGCTAAGAACATTTTCTTCACTCTCTGACACAAAGGGAGTAGTTTGCAAGTGTTTATAGGGCATAACTAGACTTCTCCAATCTCTTCAGATTTTTCCTTAGATTATATGTGTTACAGACAAAGACCTCATTGAGCACGTGATTTATGTATAGATGTGCAAATTATAAACACTGTGCTCAGATCAGTGTGGTTACTTGTAATGCTTCACTACTACAATAAAGCTTGTTTTCAAGACTAATCCCCCATAATATCTTGGAATGTAGATACATACAGATGTACATCATTAAGAAAAAGAAAATGTGCAGGTAAAAGTGAGTAGAAGAGAGACGAATGATCATAAACACTTGTTTTTACATGGTTAGAAATACACAAATCTAGAAGTACACATTTGGAACGGGTTTTGCCTGTCAAAGTAGCTGATCAGGACTTCCTGAGGATGTGTAATACTTAAGAATGTATAAATAGACATGTATATATGCTCAGTTTGTGTTCAAGCAATCTCATTAATTAGAAAGACAGACTTAGATTCCACTTGCTTTTAAGTTGCTTTGTCTTTTGTACTAGAGATAATAAGTTTCACAAAGCAAGCTAAAAATAGAGTGAGCCCAACACAAACCAAAGCTAAAAATATACCCCATGCAAAACTAGCTTTTGCCATTTTCATGGAAAAGGCCAGCCTTCATTCTGCTGCAAAGCCAGCGGTTGCAACAGGTTTTAGGATGGCTTTGAAACCAGTGGACAATAAAGCAGTAATGAGAACTGCGGCATTCAGGGCAGCCTGGGCTTTCTGAAAAGCAGCAGTGCAGTGGGAGCACTATCAGCCTTGTGTCTCAGAAAACACTGAATTGTCAGCGAGGACACAGCTGAAAGAGGGTGATGAGATCTAAAGGGACAAAGGAGTTAGTGAAAGAGAGAGAAGGGATTTTAACTAAAAAGTAACAGAGTATATTCTTACTGTCTCAGTACTTCAGGCTGTTAGTGGCATAAAGGTCCTTCACACTTCAAGAGATTAAATAGAGTTAATAAAAATAGCTAACCATCAACATACAAAATTAATGATTTCCAACCACTTTATCCAGAAGGAAAAAAATTGTTTTAGTAACTCTTTTGTGCAGATGGACAAATTAAAAGGGCAATTTTCAGCTAGCCTGAACACCACCTGTCTCATGGCACTGAGTCAGAGGAGATACGGGGTTCCAAGCAGCAGCTCAGCAGGTCCAAGTAGGGCACTATGCAGGGAACAAGTAGGACAAAGTAGATTTAGGAACTTTTCATGGAATTTAGGCAATCTGACCATGGTCCAAAGAGCTTAAGGGTCTTTTCCTAGATCACACAATAGCACACTGGCAAGCTGCTAGCATTCTGGCTTCCAGCCCGAAGCACTGTCCTCCATCCAGCTGCGTAAGTGGACAGAAGAGGGAGTTCTCAACTGAAGGAATTTTTTGCCTCAAGTTTCCAAGCTAGGCTTGATAGCTAAAACAATTGAAAACATTTACAATAAAATGAAAACAATATGTAATTGTATTGTTTTCCAGCTATTCTGGTGCCAAGAAACAGCTTTGGTCAGGAAACCAGTTGTAAATTTGACAAGGAAGAAACAGAGATAAGTAGGACTGCTTATTTGCCAAGAGAGACTCCCTAAATTTAACTGTCTTGAACTTTGTGAAGGAAGAGGAGGCCTTCAGCCCAGTTCAGCCCTACTCTAAATTAAAACCCAGTGAAGTCAAGGTGACACCTATGGTATGGTGCATTACCACTTAAATCAATAATCCATAATACAATATAAGAGCCAGATATACTTGATAATATAGCAATTCTAAGCCCATGTGTATATCTATACTGAATGTATATGTATACTTGAATTATATTACTTCCAATGGTGACAACAATGCAAATGTCTCTATTTAATGCCAATTAGGCAAGGAGCTTTTGGAAATCCTGGCTAGTACCTAATACTATCCTGAGCAAAGTGTGCATGCTCATGGCTTAACTCATGTGTACCAGCAAGGTATGGGAGAAAGCTCTGAAACCCTCCAGGGCAGCTCATATCACAGCAATAGTTTCAGCACCTCAACTACAAAAACAAACAAAAAAACCCAAAACACCAAAACCCCCACTTTCTGCCACATTTTTCTGGGCAATAAATAAACAACAAGAAAGAAAATGGAGGAGCTGAGGTTTGCTTGAAAGAGCAACCAGGTGAGAAGACTGAAGGATGGGATCTGCTATGGGCTGAGCGCCTGTAAGAAAGGGGCTTCAGAGAGACAAAAAACTTTGAAGTGGAAATGGTGGAAAGGTAAAGGGCACGTGGTCAAGAGATGGGACAAAAGATGGATGAAGCAAGAACAGGAATTACAGATTATGAAGGAACTATTTGAATGCTGTAAACACCAGGGAGGGAAAAGAATTGTTTAGGGTGGTTCAGTGATATTTCTAGGAGTGATGGGATGCAGATAAGCAAGTGGAAAATGTAAGCTATTAAACAGGAAACACTTCCTGACAGTGAAGGCTAATAGACTGTGGAAAAGTCTCCTAAGGGAAGTGGCAGGAGCCGCTCAGACAATTAAAACTAGACTAGACAACATACCTTAGGGCACAATCATGCCCAAGACCACAGACAACTGACTGGATGTGACAAGTATCTTCCCTTCTTGCTTCAGAAATAAAACTGTAAAGCCCAGGGGGAAAAAGGACCATTGTAAATGTGGAGGAATCACACCTGACTCAAATAACACCCAATTGCAAATTTTCCTTGTAACTCACACAGGGTACAGCAGTTTGGCTCCTCCTGAGCAGTAGCTACACAAAAGATCCTGTTCTCCAATGTTACATTACTGTCAAACAAAAAAAAAATCTAATTCACAGTAAACGTTAATTCATTGTTTGCTCAGGCATTCTGCAATGTTTAATTATCTCATTGTTTAAGGTTTAACAGCTTTAAGGACATTTTTCTTAGGAACTGCTGAATTTATATCCTGTTCTACTTCACTGATACCATCCAACTTTCTAAACCACAACTGTGATAAGTACTTGACAGAAAAACACTAATTGTTTGTTAGTTTGTAGACATTAGGAATTTTGCAGAAAGCTTGTAAGAATTAGATGCCCATTACCTGGTGTACCTTGCACTTGGCAGATGAAGGGGAGAATACTCATGAATGCTGATGTAAGGCAGCAGTAGCCACCTGAGGGCTGGATTTTTTTTTTTATTTTAATTTTTTAAACTTTTTCTTCCCATCATCCTGATGTGCAGGCTGAAAGACTTTTAGTGTGCTCACGTGTCAATCTACTAAGACGTGATTGAAACCCACAAGCTTATTTGAGAGAACCTGCCAAACACCTATTAGCTGGTAAAAAGTCAGTGGTTGCTTTGTTTGAGAAGGGTTGGGCTCAGACTCAGCAATGAAAGGCTCCATAGCCCACTTCCATTTCACTCCTCTGGTACAGAGACACTGTATCAGGACCACTCACACTATAATTTGGTGATATTTACCTTCCCTCAGTGTTTCCTGTGGTTGTCCCTGATTTTTGTTGTTCTATAGTCGCAGTCTAAAACCTCTACAGCCTTGCACCCAATGGATAATGAACTTGCTGCACTTACTTACTCCTAATAATGAATCATATTGACCGTAAAATTTGATTTGCATTACTGTAATGCTTTGATGTCTAAGTCAGGCACACTCCCATTGTGTAAGGCACTATACAAACCCAGAACAGTAGACCTTGTTCCAACAATTTATGGTAAACAGACTGGAATACCTCAACTGACCTTGATTTCTCACCTGACAACTTTCCTCTCTGGTTTAACTCACATCCCAAAGAGTTTGAGACCAAATCTTTGCAGGTAGCTAGTCTTCCACACTGCATAGATGCTACCATCTTTAAATATTTCTGTCCAGAAAAAAATGCAACATTTTTTCTCCTGAATTTCACATATAACTTGCAAAGACAGACCACTTCCAATCACAGCGTGCTGGTGCAGTGATTGTTGAAGCATATACTGATCGCTGGGCCAGCGCAGTTGCCAAAAATATGTCTGCAGTCATTTACCCATGCAAACACTAACACATATGAAACATAAGCAAGCATTGTGAAGATTGGCTTACCCGGTATTTGCTAGGCATTTATTGATTAAAATATCGATTAAGGCACTTGGTGACATTCTGTGCTTGGAACTTCTGGTTCTGCTGTTTCCCAGTGGAGATGAGAAATCGCTCAGCGAGGCTGGAGGTCTGGCCACTGTCTTGTGTAGACAGGCCTGAAAAAATACAACAATCAATTTTAGAAATGGCAGGTCCCAAACCTAAGTTTTGTGTATGTTTAGAAGTGTGTCAAAAAATAAAACCTTGTCAAAACCGATGTTTTTTGTAATTACAAAGTATTAATGGAACAGCAATGTAGAAATCACTACAGTTCTTACAATACAAACGTAGCAATGTTGTTTACTTTTCTTCTCAATATTAATAAACATTTTGCTGAACTAGACAGTGAGTCAACATTATTTATGCTTTTCAGCATAAATTTAATTTTTTTGAGAGATGAACTAAAACAGTACCATTTTTTCAAGATTATATTAATTGCCACAAGCTCATCCAAGTCTCCCTCTGTTGTTAGCTAGCCACATTTTATATCAAGGTTCTAATTAGAACTTCTTCGAAATACTTAATAGATGGATGGTATTGCTATGCTACTGATATGAAGATAAAGCTGTTAAAAGCAGTTATAAGCCTTCCAGCAGATGTTACAAAAGATCACAAATTATGGTAATTAGCAATCTAATGACAGGACTCCTCCATAATAATCCCTAAAAATTGATTAGCTATTCATTAAAATGTCTATAATTTACTAATCATAAGCAAACAGACTCTATAGTATTAATCATGATTATAAGAGGTTTTCAACTGTTATTAAAGTTAAATAGCCAAAGAGACGTATTCCTGTTAAAGTCCATTTAATCTTTATAACTGTCATAAACAGGCATTGAAGCGTGCTGCGATAAACAAAATAGTCCTTACTTTCCTGACTAGATCAACACATACTCAAGTTAAATCAGCTCTCTTCCTCTGAATTTCATCTTTCTTCTGACAATGAAAAAGTAAGATTAAGATGTTCTATTACAAAATTTTGCAACCATCTGTGTGGGATCACAGCTGAGTTAGAGTAACGATTCTTCACGTCTTTTGGGAAATGAGCGCCTTAATTTCTTACAATTCCTTATTGCATCAAGTAATCTTTAAAATAGTTCCTGGAAAGGAGTGAGATAAGTCATCTTGCATAAGTGTCATCCACAAGTATATGAAAGGATGACAAGTACAGAACTGATAAAAGGAAATTTATTTTAACACTACATATATTCAGATGTGGAACTTTTGCCTCAAGTTGCTGAAGCCAAGGTTTCAAAACCAAATTATTTAGAACTGCAACCCATCCAGTGATCTAATCTTCCTGGTAGCACAGTTTTTGGAGGGAGTATTAATAGGTGTAAACTGATTCATTAAGGACGAGGAGGTGATCTAGAGAGAGGACAGAGCTGCCTACTGCAGGATTTCTATGCTCTGTTCCAAATTATTTGGTGTTAAAAGCCCGCTAGACTTGCTGGATGTGTACTCCATACTACTAAGAAATCTTTAGCAATGCAAGATTTCTTTAGAGCTGGAGCACTCACCTCTCACCAGCCATTGTTGTTTATATATTTAAGAAATGAAACATCTTACTCTAATAAAATTGGGCAGACAAAACCAAGAAATTGTCAAAACTGTGTGTCCAGTTATCACTCTCTGAGGATCAAAAGTTGCAAATCCATTTCACATCTTTCACATGTTTTTTGGGGGGACAATTTACATAGAGCTTTTCATTCATCTAATTTTGAATTTTTTTTTTTTTTCAGTTGGAGGCCACTGGTGCTATCAGTCACAGAAGTATGAACAGCCACACTGTGAAGGTACTGCTAAATACTTTATTTTTCCAATCACATTAGTGTTTGGACTCTTCTGTTTTGCAAAGGGCCTCCTGATAGAATAATGCAAAAATTCACACAACTCAGCATTTAATGCTGCACGAGCATGTTATATATAAATGTAAGTGCTAAACAGGATACCTAAAGGAGGGCATTTTGAAGATACCGGTGTTTGTGCTTACTATTCGTTTTGTTTCAACCCAGGATAATGCTACAAATATAAAAAAAATTCTAAATGTGCTGCAGAGGTAATCACCCCAGCAAGTTGGATATAGTCAACTATTTAAATTCTTAAGGACAGTTATGAAAAACCCTAATGTCTACCTACAGCTGCACCTTTTGTTTTACCAGCAGCATCCGCCTAGGCTGCCTGCTCCCTCGCTCAACCCCGCGTCCTGCCCAGCCCTCCCTGGGACTGACAGTGCAGGAAGGGGCATTTCACTCCCAGCACCACTTTTTTTTGTTTTTGTTATAGTTTCCAAGTTTCTATAGTTCAGCCAACCTCAGCGGGAGTTCACTTTCTTTTCACAGCCATTTGCATGTGCATATTTTCCTGTTAAGCCTAGCAGAACATTTTTGAAACGCATTAGTATTTTTAAAACTACAGAAAATTACATACTAAGGAAGTTCCTTATTAAATTCCAACATCCAAAGACCTTTCCTTCAAAGATGTCTCCAATTTCCCAAGTGAGAATATATTGACTGTTGGGTGGTTTGGCTTTATAAAGGATTTGCAGTCTACATAAATAAACTGTTTTCTTCATCCTTAAATAGGTCCTCGACAATGGTATCTAACAGACGTCACCTGCAAAGGAAACAAACAGTCACCTGTCAATATTGTCACCAAAAACGTAATTTATGACAAGAGCCTTAAGCCACTGAATTTTGAAGGATATGATGTGAAGGGGTCTTCAAAATGGAACATAGAAAATAACGGACATACAGGCAAGTACTGCCAAATATGTTATTATGGGATTTATTTATGCCTTCTTTTGGAACCATCCATTCACTTCTTCCATGTCCTGGGCAAGGTGTTAGGCATCACTACCGCTACTTAAAAGCAAGGAAGCAAAAATAAGATAGCACCACAATATTTCAGCAGCGAAACTTTGAGAACACTTTCTGAACCCAGGCTTTCTGGGAACCTTGTGGGAATTACCTAGTTTTTGGATTCTGGACACGGTCCTTGAGCATCTCAGCAGAAATTGGTTCTGAGTATGTGCAGAAACAGAGTTCGAGTTGTCTAGGGAACCTGGAAGTCAAACAACAACCTCTAGGACTAGCAGGTGGGTGAGTGTAGGGGTTTAGGACAACAGTTTTGGCAGAGGTATATAATTTCTGCTGAATACTCCTATACCCTTCATATCTGGGCTTGCCCTTTCTGACCTTTGCTTCTGCACAAAGAAAATTCTGCTGGCGAAGAACATAATCTGGGAAAGTCATTCGATCAGTGGCTCGCAGCGTGTGTATCTTACTAGTTCTTTAAATAATGAGCTGAAATCTTCTTAGATTTCAACCTGTTTTCTCTGCACGCGGAAGTAATCTAATGTGAGCTTGTTGATCAGCTACTTACTGATTCAGTGAACACTGATTCAGTGAACAGCAATTCAGTAAACAGTGAGTGAATCAGTGAATAGCAATTTAGCACTGTTTCACTTCCTCCACTTTCCTTCACTAAAAGCAATACTAACAACGATGCTTCAACAACGCTATGCCAAATTGCCTTAACTTTAAAAATAAATCTGTTGTCCTTTTTTTGGAAATTATCTATAAGTGTTCTTAAGGTCCTACAGATGGATTGTTTTAACTGCCAAATCCCTAAAATGGAAATTTGCAAGTAGCAAATATTTTCCTAACTTAAAATGGAAAGGTAGGAAGGTAGACAGCTGGGTTGATTTTCACAGACAGAGACTCTAGTTTAAATCGTCAGTATTTTGACTGACTACAAAAAAAAGACATGTTTTGACTTTTCACTAATATATGGATTAATGCCTTTCCCATTACAGAATGATATTCTAGAATCTCCATATTACAGTCACGGTGCATAGAATTATTTTTTACACAACAATTAATATTTATAAGGATTGGTCAGAACACTCATCTTTCCCAGCCATGCAAAAGGATTAGGTTTTAAATCTGGGCTTTTAAAATTTCTTCCTTCTGAGGGCAACCAATTCCTGTGCTATAGTGAGTACAATGCAGAAACTGCTATTGCTTAAATTACAGCTGCAATTAGAAGCTCTACATGAGATTACACTATCATTATGTTCGATGATGGGCAGATAGCAAAGGTCAGTGTCTCAAAGGTCCTACAATCCAAACAAAAAAAGCCAACAAAGGTATGTTACTCATCCATTTACAGATAAAAAAGCAAAGTAACTAAATGACTCATGCAAGCTTCCAGTTCATTTGGAATTCAGAACAGAAATGAAATCTCTGGGGCTTCAATCCAGGTCAAAACAATTTTTCCTATGGAAAGAAAAGTACTGTGCTTAGTGTAAAGGTCTTAATAAGTAAATTTTAAAAATATATCCCAAATGTCTCAAACACACAAAGTGATGGTGATTTGTAGCTAGCAAAATATCTCCTAAGAAAATTTTATTTTGCTGTTAGCAACAGATCAAGCATCACATTAAATAGGTATAATGGCTTAGATGCTTATGCTTAAGTTGCAACGCTAAATTAAAACAGAATATATTTAAACTCTGTTACAGTGCAGACAACAGGAGATAAAAATGATGCTTAAAAACCAAATAAACTGTGATCAAGTTAACTTTTAAGAATACTTTGGTAGACGGTGTTCTCCTAGACAAAAACTGAAGGAATATAGGATTTTCTGAAAGGTATAAGTAGCTCTGACTCCTGAGGTTATAAAGGCAGTGAACAAATCCCTACAAATCCCTTCAGTGCAATGAAGGAAAGACAGTCTACTACCCAGTTTTCTTCAAAATGCAATTAAGCAATGATACTCCAAAGGCGATACTAAAGGATGCCATAAAAGTCTGTAAAACCCTCGCCCCAGAACGATCCAAAGTAGTGCTCTGTCTTTTTCCTCCATTTTAGAAAGGGAAACAAGTATAATCAAATTTATTTTATTTATTATTATTTATCAACTGACGTAATGGGTAGCTCAGCCCTCCAGCAAGTGAGGCTCTATACAAGTCATTCAAGTTCACAGAGCAAGTCCTAGGTAGAGATGGGAACAGAAGCTCCAAGTGCTGTGCCATAGAGGGATGCCCAAATGCTGTGGCATATTACTGGAAGTGGGCTATGATATTTCTCCCTTTCATCTCAAATTAATCTCAGCTAGCATTTTGTAAGCGTTCAGCTTCTGCAGAGTTGAACTTCTGGAACACTAGGTATGAAAAACCAGGCCAGAACTTTAGGATAAATTTGAATCTCAAGAGCATGCATCTGTCTGCTCTCACATACTATATAATGTATGGTCTGTTTTGTTTTTTTTTTAAAACAACTTATTGTTTTCCCCAGTTAAAGTAACGTTAAGCACATTCCCTAAAATTGGAGGAGGAGGTCTGGGAAGAAAATACAAGGCGATAGAATTTCATTTGCACTGGGGAGTCCAAGGTGTGCAGCAATACCTTCCTGGGTCAGAGCACAGCATAGATGGAGAAAAACAAGCCATGGAGGTAGGTGAGACTGTTTGTGGATTATGGCTTTTACTCAAGAACTCTGGCTTTTTTAAGATACTGTTGCACATAAACTATTGGCTAGTTCTCCAATGAAACCCCAACAGTGGAAATAAAGTACCGAGTCCACGTTGCTCGCTAACGAGAACACACAGGAAAACACACTAGTTTTGCATAGCAAAGGCACAGGACAGAGAACAAATCTGGAATTTATATAGCCTTTTGGGAGGATAAACGTTTCAAAGTCTATACAGTCTGATTACACTCTCACACTGCTTATTCAGCTTATATATTAATTTCTGGGACTGCAACCATGAATCGACCTAGGCAATTGAAAAAAAATATTCTCTTCAAGGCAAGACAAGTCGCCAGTGCTGATACACATGGGTTGGCGGAAGGAAACCACCCCCGTTTCAAACTATGATGTAAAAATCTGCCTGTTGCACTGCACAGGCTGAAAATTGAGGGCTGCAGCAGTCCACAGCGCGCTTCACCTTCTGCTACGCATGGGGAGATGTATATAATGAGACTGATTTTGATGAATGAAGTTTCAAATTATAGTCCACTTTTTGCATAGTGCCAGCCTCAGGTCAAGGGCCTCAAGCCGTCTGTCCCAGCCTGCGAGCACCAAGGCAGCTCTGGCCCCACTGCGGCGTAGGTGCAGAGAGGCAGCCAGGCTGCACTTACAACAACCAACTGTGGAGGAAAATGAACACGTAATTGTCCTTGACTGTTGTGTTACAGCTTCACATTGTCCACATAAGAGAAGATGTTTCGGATATAACAGAAGCGAAGAAAAATGCTGATGGTGTGGCTGTGTTAGCATTCTTTATAAAGGTATGCAGCCAAATTTTTAATTGCCCATCTCGAATCTACCAGCAGCTTGGCTGAGTGACCGATTGTGTTAATGTTACCAAGTCTGAACCTAAGCCTCCCTAACTTCTGCAGGCATTCAGTGCCACCACTTAGTTTCTTTACCCTTTTCTACGTTCTGCTTGCTGTTATCTTTTAGCCTTGTGATTCTTTTCTGTTTAATTTGCAATTAATTTAAAGCAACCAGCTGTTGAGAAATGCATGATTTGGAATCAAAATATTTTCATTTCAGGTTGAAGAAGAAAATAAAAACTATGCAACTCTAATAAATGAATTACAGAATATTAAATACAAAGGTAAGACATTTGTGCTGGTCAAAACGTAACATATATTTATTTCAAGCACATATACTACCAGGTAATTAATAGTCCAATCCTGTTCTAAGTGTAGTAGAGATGGTTACTTGAAAGTCAAAGCCAGAAGATAGAGATTATTTTGTCAAGCACTCAGAGCATTGCAGGTGGGAGAAAATATAGCTCTCCATATTTGCAGCGGTGAAACTCCCCAGAACGAGTATTCCTGCTTCTGCAGGAGGAAGTGGAGTGAGAAGAAAAACATACAGAGTGTTAACACGGGAGGTGTGTGTGACTTGTGCTCTGTGGGGTCCCGCAGTTAGCAGTCAGGGATTTCACAGACAGCGCAGTGCGGCTGCCCCGGGTGGCATGGGAAGCGTGCATGGGGATGAGGCTTTACATAGCCACAAGCAGCAGCTGCATTTGAAGACAAATGTGAGCAATACCTGAAGCCACGCTTGTTACGAGCAATTTTTCCACATGGGAATATTCTAGGGCAAACAGCACAGATGGAATCTTTGCCACTGAGTTCTCTACTCCCACCTGAGGAAGAGCTTGGAAGGTACTATCGGTACGAGGGCTCCCTCACCACTCCTGACTGCCATGAGGGTATCATCTGGACAGTATTTGAGAAGCCAGTTGAACTCAGTATTTCTCAGGTAAGCCACAGAGGGATAGCCTGAAAGGTCTGCTTACGGTTATTTTGCCCCTTCAGCTGCCTGCTCGCTCACACAACTTAACACAGACTTGTTAGCTGCTCCACTGCTTTGTTCCTATGACACACTTGCTTGGCATTAGCCTCAACGTCGTCCCTAGTGCCAGTATTTTGATCCAGTTAAATCATCTCTCAAAAAATGGCAGGAAAGGGGAAGGAAGGGGAAATGACGATGTGAAAAGAAAGCCAAAAAACCCCCCAGGTAAACACCTAGCTCAGCGCTTCGTCAGCAGCACTTCCCCCGCAGTCATCTGCTCACTCCCAAATTTCGCTGCTTTTCTCCTGTTGTCATAAGTATTAGGATACCAGAACAGAATACTTCAAAATCAAACTTGAGTCTATCAGCTTCAAGCAACACATTTTTGTCCTGCAGAGAGGAACAGGGGACTGAATCATGACTGCCTCTCAAATGCAGAACGTTTAGCTGACCGAGTACACGATTCAAAAACTCAGATGTCCTGGGGTGGACTCTCAGCAGTACTACTAGCCAGCACAGCCTGGCCGAGAGCCAGCATCTGTGTTTTACTTCCTTACCTGCTGTGTACTCATAATCACTTCAGTCACAGGGCAGTCTCAGCCACGCGCGAGTCAGCATAGCACAGTACACGAGAGTCAGCCTCTGCTTGCTCTGGGCCAGCCTCGTGCTGCAAGCAGTTAGCAATTTGAAGCAAAGAAAAAAATCCTAGTCCTCTTACTTTGTGTCAATGTGACGTGATGGACAAGGACAGGACTGTGTGCGTCAAGAGGACTGGTGTAATAAGGTTCTTGAGCTGGACAAAGCGTTTGACTCACACAAAAAGGAAGTCCCCATGATTTCCAAGGCTAAAAGAAGTCATCTGTTGGTGACCTCTGGCAGTAGCCTCCATCACATTGTTTCCTGCAAGGTTTAATGTATCCATACAGTTCAAAAACAGAGTGAGGTACTGCAGATTTACAGTATCACAATCTCCAGTGTTCCACAGAAAAAGGATTTAACAATCTATTTTTTTCTTTGATGTCTGCAGATTTCTCAGTTTTCAACAGTCCACTTTGATGGGAAGAACTCAACTTACATGGTTGAAAATTTCCGGCCTGTTCAGTTTCTGAACGAACGAAAGGTGTACTGGTCCAGTGCCAGCATCCTCCTGCCCACTGCTAAGGTTTTAATATTGGTCCTGATGCTTACGTACTTCCTGAGTTCTCTTTTCCAATGAACACTTCTCACCTCATTCAAGATTCTGGGCTTTTTGGAGGGGTTTTTTTGTTGCTGTTGCTGGTTCTTTGTGTCAAGTAGTCTCCCTAAATACCAACTCATGAATCATATCTCAATACAGAATTTAACCTTGCTCTCCTCCAGACACTAACCAAGGATTTCTGTTGCTGCTCTTATATAAAATGAAACTCATTGCACTAAATCACAAGAATTCAAAGGAACTGTAGGATAAAGCTATGAAGATTCAAATTAAAAAAAAAACAACAACACTTAAAGAAAACATTATGATGGATTATCTGCAAGCCTGTAGTTTCACCAGGACACTGGAAGGACACCTGACAAGCTATATGGAGGACTGTTAAGAGGAATCTGTTCTTAAGTGCCTATGAAGGGTTTGTTGGGCATATGTTTACATTCAACACTGTAAATCAGGAGACAGTAACATGAGGAGTAATTCTTATCATCCCTACATTGTCCTACATGAAGGTACAACACAGAGCGAAGAAAAAATGCTGACACGCAATTGAGCAACATCTGGGTCATCCTATAGAGTGAAGAATATGTGACAAATTTCATCTGTACTAACGCAATTTCCCCCCCTTCTTCCTTCAGAATACCTGAAGTTAATTTTTAGATAAGGATACTGGGTTCCTTTCATCTAATCTACTGGTTCTGGATTTCAGATTTCTCTATTAAGCCTATTTATTCAGCCTAGTACAGCATCTTCTCTGGGATGCCCACGGCCAATATGATGTGCTAGAAAGAAAAAGGGAAGCTCAACCACATATACCAGATGCACATCTGTGGAAATTCCCTCTCTTTGGAGGGCTGCATTTGAAGCATGAGACTTTGATGATCCTTTACAGTTTTCATTTGCCTAAGAAAATGGCACAGCTTGAGAAATGTCAGTTTGAACATTTCAGTGTCAACATTTCCTTTTTTTCCCCCCCCTTTAATAATAACATACCTGCAATATTCATATATGGTTGAGAGTCATAGTTTTTCCAAGAAGATTGTGATTTGAACTGATTTCTTCAGGTCTTACCCAATTACAGAAAAGCTCGATATATTGGGAAATGGGATTTCCTTATATTATTCCAGTTCTCTCTCTGAAGACAGACATAACCATTTTCTTTGTCTAATGCCATATAACATGTTACAGCTTCTTTTAGAATTTTAGATTTTGGCCACACCAAAATAGGATTTCATATTAGCAGACTTGTATTTTTTGCTTTAGGCCAGTGTTTGCAGAGATGACTTTATGCTACAGCTATATGGCCATTTTCAGGAAAATCATGGTGGTGAGACCAACCACAGCTCACCAAAGGAGAAAAAGCAGGGGGGAAAATTATTTTCATATTTAACAATCAATAGTATCAGCTTAAAAAGACCACATGGGAAAGCAAATTCACCTTTTTAAGTCTAGAGGAATGATTAAGACTTTAACTGTATTTTTAGCTAGCCGAAAAACTTTAGAGAAGCAAACATAAATGAAAGATTAAAGTTGAACAGAGACCTATATTTTCATTGCCTTGAGTTTTTATTTCTTCTGTCCTTGCTGAAGGGGAATCCACACAACTCTCATTCAGAAAAGGAATGTGACTTTTTTTCCCTATTTTCTTCACGACATTTAGCGTTGGGTTTGCATTTGGCAGGGGGGAATTTGCAGTACATTGGGAAGTTTCTGATGTCAGCAGGTTTCTGGAGATTTCACCTCACATGGGTCATCTGGTTATTACCTGCACATAGCAAAATGGCTTTGAGCACGGCGCCTTGCTCAGCAGAGCTGGTGCACAAACCCAGCCCCGCAGGTAGAGGACAGGCAGATTTCTTACAATGAAGGAAAGGGCACCATGGATTTACCCAGTGTAACTTCACCTCTGTACAAACATTTGGCTGGCTAGTTAACCGGGATACACAGCTGCCTGCTTACCCATCTGTTGAACATCTCTGTGTTATCTATTTCCGTAACATCCCTCAACATCCCGCAAGCACACAATGCATCATGAAATTAAGAGGAAAGATGTTTTGTTTTCAGGCTGTTTTACAAGATGTAATAAATGGAAGTATTCTGAAAGACTCATGTTATATTGCTCTTTCATGGTAAACAGCATAACCACATACGAAAGTCCCGTAGGACTGGGAGCTCCCGTTTTAAAGACTGGCAACATGAGTACTGCTTAGGATGCACCCACCGAGAATAACGCCTTTTGCGTTAAACAAGCTCCATGCATCTGCTGGGAATATGTATAAAACCCCAACCAGCCCTCTCCATTCAGATTGTTTACTAAATGCATGAAGTGATTCCCATTTCTTAGGCAAATCTCTTAAGGACGACTGGAAGAAACTACAGAGAATCTGGGTCTACTGTCATTTATTGCTAGTGATTCATGGGGGCAACTTTTCACTAGGTTGTGCCTCAGTTTACCATGTTGATAGAGAGGAGCATTTACAGCAACTAGTTATGATGTGGGAGGATCTTGTTTACTGTGAAATCTATTAAAACATAACTAAGAGGAAGGAACAAAAAATCTGCTGAGAAGATGATTAGTCCTCTGTAAGTACGGTTCTGCACAAACTTCAGCATGAATAAGATCTGAATAGACATGTATGACCATTTTTACTGAGTGAATATGAATTTTACGCCAATGAGGAAAAGGAAAATGCTACAATCTGCATCCGTGCCAATGATCTAGTTCAATTTGTTCTTTGTTGGAGGCACCTCTTTGCAACCAGGCAGACACATTCTGTTCTGGTGCAGGATGTGACAATTACAGGACTAGTATTAATGCCGTAAATCAATACAAATCTACAGCTATTCAATTTAAAAAACAGTAAAAGACAGGAAGGCTTGAAGCAGGACATTTGGTTTTCTTTTGTGAAGATAGTTATGGAAAAGTAATTTGCTGTGCCACAGGTAGCTTCAGGCACTGATTTTCAATAATTTTGTCGACACTACATTTGGCATGAAACTTCTTATATTGCGAAGACATTGGGAAATGACAGTAACTCCTGAAGAACTAATAGCAAGCTGTGATAATACAGGAAAGGGCGGGGGAAGGAACAGAGATATTTAGAAAGACCCAGAAAGAACGGTATTTTCCCACGTACAGAAAAGTTAACACAGAACTTTGCTAATACATTTCACATATGTCGGAGCCAGAGTTGAAGACCGCTTAGCTTCTGTGACTGAAAACTGGAGTACAATAGAAAATGAAACAACACTGGCAACTAAAATTCACTAGAGATGCATGTTTCAGGTTTAAAACAAAAAAAGACAAGCAACAGCTTTGACAGTCTGAATGAAGTCAGAGGTAGGCTTGCATTTGGAGTGCAGAAAACCAGACCTATGAACTGACCATGTTCAAGAGTGCAAAGACCAAAATGTTCTGGAAGATTATCAAAGTTTGGATGTAGCTTTGCTTATGAGAACTCTATCCTTCGGAAGGAGCTTGCATTTTGGTTTAGAGTTGACCTGTAGTGGCTGTCTCGGTAAAGTCCATTCAGCATAAGGTTGAATAGCGACTAGGGACTCACCAGACTTTGGTAGGTCCTCCCCATTTCTAAAAATATACCAAGCTGAGATTACATAGTGTTGTATAATGCATCCAAAAAGCATTCCTCTTCCAGTTTTGGATTTGAGTGCTAGCCTTCAGAGGTCTGAGAGGTGAAGGAGCAGATCTCCCATATGAACACAGGCCCAGCTTCACTCCTATCACAATCATCTGGCAATTGGCAGGGGAGCAGGGGGGACAACAGGAGGGGCAGGCACAAAAAAAAAATCCTAATACAATATGCTTTCAGCAAAACATTTTCTCAGGAAGCAGAAAGAGACAAGGAAACCCAGCCATTACTCACAAGAAATATATTTACATTATACACAAAGAATTTCAACAAACTTGCTAGCTTCATTGTATGGTCAGCTTCTCCCGCTGACAAACATGAGCTCAAAATGCACTTTTCTTCACAGAATTATTTTTCCATGATTGCTTGGAGAAAAGGACAAAGCTTTTTGCTTTTTCCTTTCCTCCATTGCCCATCCAGAAGTGCATTTCACAGGGAAGACAGCATTTGCTGGCACAGCCAGCAGCCTTCCTGTTAAACAGATGTCATATCGCAAATCCACGTAAAATATCCGCCATTCCGTAGTTAAAAAAGGATACAGAAAGCCTACCTAGCTTCCTAGGCTGGTTTTGAAGCCTGACAAATATGTTAGTATCAGGTGTAACGTCGAGCACCTCTGATCCAGAGACAGGGAGGCCCATTGCCTGTCGCTGTACCTTGCACAGGAGATAACACTCCACCACAAAAATGATTATGCTTGGAGACGTGAGGTTCTTTTCAACAGAGTTAAAAGTTGACACGATGATTTTCTTCCAATATGCACTGCAAATGACTTGGGATTTAGAGAAGTTTCAGTGACAGAGGAAAAAGATCATGGTAGCCCTCTGCAGCCAGAGGCAGCTGTGGAAAAAGCTTCAGATAGGACAAAATCATATAAAAATTAAAAATAAAAAGATAATGTAGGATTTACTAGTAAATTAATTAACTAGTAAATTAACTCTAGCTGAGATGCATTGAAGAAATGCACGAGGAAACCGAGACCGGTAGCCTCTGGCCACATTGCCCAGCCCGACAGGCCGCTCCCCACAGACAGAGCGGATGACATGGCTGACCACAACCCTGTGGGCTTCTTCCACAAGAAGCGTCTAAACCCCACCTCACTCATACAATGCGTCTCTCCCTTGCTGCTTAAGAAAGCATTTGTTTCAACACGAGGAGGTGCACATAAAGAAGCAGCCATGGCACGCAGGATGCCCGTCTGAGGCACCCCACACCCTAGGGCAGTGCTCAGCCTGGCAAGTCTTTGTGTCCCTTGTTTTTCACAGTGTTATTTTGTGGTTTGTAATCTTTGCAGACAGGACTGACTCACCGCTTTGCCGTTCACAGGCCGTGGGCAGCAGCAGCGCAGCCGGGCTGGGGCTGCGGTCCCTCTGAGGC